AGGGGAAAGAGGTGGTGTTTGGATCCACGGGACGAGACGAGTTTATGGGCCGTGTCCGAGGAGCGGAGGTGGGGAAGAGAGACTTGCGGAGGAGTGAGGACACTGATCCACAATGCACTAAACAGGACTAGGGCAGAGGAAGTATTAAGACGGGGGGATTTCCTATAATGCTGTTTTTCTTTTCCCCGGAGAGAAAAGGGATGAACAAAAAGACAGCAATGCTTATTTATGAAAGAGGTCATAACATGCAATTCACACAGGTAAAGTTCATATTAGTTTGCTTCATGCATATTTGGGTAATTTACAGGGTTGTTATTAATTAAGGCTTTTAACTTATTGATGCACCTAGATTGTTTGGGGAAAAGAAAACTAAATGCACATTTTAATTTCTTTGCAGTCATAAAACTTCTTATCTGCGTATATAATTCTGTGTGAGGTTCAAAATCAATGAATCAATTACTAAATTATTTAACAACTATTTTGATAATCTATTAGTTTATATTGATTAACTTGTTGATGATTTAATTTGAGATGATGTTTTGAGATGTATATTCAATCGTTCACCAATTTTCTTATTTTGAATCTGTGTTTCTCGACTGACTTGGCAGCATTGCACAGGCAACGACAAACTGGCAACCCAAATGAGAAAATTGGATAATACAGATAATCCGCTTGAAAATCGTAAACATACATTTTACACCAATGCAATTTAATAAAACACAGAAAAGCCAGTATCTTTAAATAAGAATAACTTAAAATTGTTGTTTGGAAAAGACCACATATGAGCCTGTACCTATTGACCCATTTTACTTGGCAACACATAAGAAGGGTTTAGTAGACCAAGGAGATGATCATCGACTTCAGGAGAAAACCACTTTCCCACATCCAGGGGGAGGACATTGAGCTGGTGGACAGCTTAAAGTACCTGGGTGTTCACATTAACAATAAACTGGACTGGTCCCATAATACAAACGCCCTGCACAAGAAGGGCCAAAGTCGCCTCTTCCTTCTGAGGAGGCTGAGGTCCTTCGGAGTGAGCAGGCCTCTGCTCAGGACTTTTTATGACTCTGTGGTAGCTTCTGCCATTTACTACGCTGCCGTGTGTTGGGCCCCGGGCAGCACAGAGCGGGACAGCAACAGACTGAACAAGCTGGTCAGGAGGGCCAGCTCCACTCTGGGCTGCTCCCTGGACTCTGTGGAGGAGGTGAGGGACAGGAGGCCCCTGGACTCTGTGGAGGAGGTGAGGGACAGGAGGGTGCTAGCCAAAGCCACCTCCATCATGAACAACACCTCCCACCCACTGCACAGGACTGTAGAGGAGCTGAGGAGCTCCTTCAGTGGAAGACTGAGGCACCCTCAGTGTAGGAAGGAGCGCTACCGTAGGGCCTTTATCCCCACCGCTGTCAGACTGTACAATAAGTCACTTTAAATGATCACTGTGTGAAAACCTGCACTACTATTGACACTGTTTCCAATTGACACTTGTCACTTTTGTTGTACATAATTATTGTCACTTTTATTGTACCTGCATGTAACATGTTTGCACATTTCCTCCTTTTGCACAATCTGAGTGTCTCTATCCATGCCAAATGTGACATGTAAATTTCTCCTATGTGAGATAAATAAAGCACATCTTATCTTATTAAAATTAATAAGTTTTACACTCTGAAATCAACAGAGTCTGTTCTTTATGAAGTCCAAATAAAACAAAAGCCCTTCATTTTTCATGGGAACGCAGATGTTTCAGCAGGACACATCTTCACTGCAACCCTATTAACACTTGTGCTCCGGCTGAGTCTGAGGCTGAGGCTGAGGGCCCGGGGAGGGGAGGGGGGCTGTAATGTAGTCATAATAGGGACTAGGAACCAGAGGAAACCGGGTCTCCGTGCTCCATAAACAGGATGAGGGCCCGGACCACACGCGCTTCGTCAAACTTTATCCAAATCTGATGTGGCATATGCGATCTGTAGTGGTGTTGAATCATGCACAAAAAAAAGGATTTATAAATAATTGCCAATATGATCACGTTAATTTTCGCCCTTACATATGATCTTGAGAATATTTCATTTGGCATTTTCCGTTCTAAATATGTGAAATCTATTACATTACATACATGTCGATAAAGGGGTATAGTTGATTAAGGAAGATCAAGTTTAATCAATTCATATGCAGGGAAACTCGTTTATTTTTTTTACATTCTTTAAAAGGTAGAGAATGGCTCTGTCACTCGCGTCAGAGCCTAATCATTGAGGTGGAAAAAGTTTGAAAATTGACTATTATTTATATTATAAGTTTGATTACAGAAGGGCATGATATTAGTGTGGATCGATTCCAGGTGTGTTATTGACAGGGTAATAATGTTGTAACAATGTTATAAAGTTAGGTTCAAATCATAGTATAATATGTTTCCTTTAAAGCAGCAATATGTAAGATTTTCATGTCAAGTCATCATTCAATTGCCCTAATCTGTCAAAAGGCATTCATAAACCATGCTCTTTTCCAATACTTCTTTAACTGATAACATTAGTTCAGCTGAGTTATTTGAAAAACATAATTTTATATTAAATATGAATTAGTTTTACAGCCCCTAAATCTGTTATTGTTTTCATTTCAATGTCCCGCCATCCACCGTTTTACCAATCAGACGCTCAGAGTAAAGTACCATATGGCCGCATGACAAAACAAGAAATAAAGCGAGGATTTCTATTGCGGTCTTTATGCAAAAGGTGTTTGTTGTTTGCAAATATCTTGTATATTCAGCTATTATGATCCCAGCTGGATTCGTCCACATTTCTGGCAACCTGAGTAAGGGAGAGTGGGAGAGGTTGCTGTGCCACTTTTCGCCAGATTTTTTACATACTGCTCTTTTAACTTTACCAGCGTTTCCACTATTCAAAATCAGTGGGAATCTTGTCGCGTGGGGCGACAGTAGCTCAGTTGGTAGAGCATTGGCCTTTGAGCCTGAAGGTCGTGGGTTCGAGCCCACCTAACCTACTTCACAACTCTCACTGATGACTGCTGTCGTTGTGTCCTTAGGTAAGACACTTAACCCCACTTTGCCTGAAGCTCCCACTGAAAGATCTCAGCTCCTGTGGACTCATCACCTGCAGGAGGATCAGTGAGGGGCTGGTGCTCTGTGAACTGGGTGGCAAATGGATGGATGGATGGGAATCTTGATTATTCAATCTCTATTATTCTTTCCAACACAAGGCCATACACAGCACTTCACAGTCAATATCACATAAGACACAAATCATCACATTAAAGAAACACCAAAATCACCATTAAAAACACAATCCAAATCACACACAGGTATTTCTATTCTATACTAATGTTGAGGAAATGTCCCTCACTGTCTTCAATCAATCCAGTGAGATTTTTGTAAGGCTGTAGATTCCCTTTTTTATTTTGTTGTACTAAAGAATCTCTTGAACACTGGTATTTGAAAATGTTCTGTTTAGTGATGAGGATAGCGATGATCAATGTTTTCACTTTATTAATAGTTTGGTTTCCATTTTACGTTTACTAGAAAACCACAGTGTTCTGAATCACAACACATGGTGGACCATAAGCTGTCTTCATGTTTTAACTGTGCAGGTGGTGCATGTTGCGTACGTAGGCTAAAGTCGTAGTCTATAGAAGTTGTATGAATGGCTCCAGTGTGACTTTCTCTTATCTTCCTCCTTTACTCTTCCGACGCCTCCAGAGCGGGAAGTGAGGCTCCTCTGCCAATGATAAAAAACAACTACTCTGATATGAGATGCTGTTTGAGTCCAGATGGATCTTTTTATGACTTTGACCTTGCATACATCTGCTGGACTGGCATTCACTGTGTGGGTCCCAACTATAGATCAATTCTATTCAAATGATTGGTGGGACCTCATGAAAATATTGCTTCTTAATTGTAAAGAGAGAGATAAAGGCTTTGTTTGCTTTGTAATTGCTATTATAATTGCTCTATAACTGAAAGCAACATTAATTTGCACGCAACACCCCCCCATATGCATTACAGGAGCGTGGGCATCCATCCACGGCTCCTCTTGTACCGTTCCACCCATACCCCGCTGCCATTTTCGGCTATGGGCCCGCTCTATTATAAGCACCAATTACTACTGTATAGCCATGTCGGTCCACCATGCTCACAACATTTTTAGTTTCCAACATATCCGTGCTAGTAGCTACTATAATCCCTCCAACCACATACATTTTCCAGGGACCATGCGCCAGCCCCATTCCTGAGGTAAGTTGGACTGAATATTGTACTCATCCCACAGCCCCTTGCTACCCTGCAATCAACATTACAGTTTTATACGCCCCCACCCCCTCACACGTGTATGATTTCTTTACAGATGCACCGGATTATCCCAGCATATTTCAGTTTTTTCCCTTTCAAACTACGCCGTTCTCCAGTTTAGACCCCGTTTCGAATTCATCTGGGCCCCCTCATTATGGCCCGAATCCAATCTACCCCGACTTCGCTGATTTTTGTCGCCTTTTAATATTTTATCTACTTAGTCATATGCGTTTAAGTTGCCACTCTCTGCCACATCCCGTTCTACTCTGTTCAACCCGCGACTCTGCCGCAAACACTGTGCATACATCTCCACCTTAAATACTTTGTGTGGTTCCAATTCAAATAAAACTGGTAGAATAAATTTGTGGCGCATGTACCAACCCACCGCCGTATTGGAGATGGTTCTAAATTGACTCTAAACAACTAACTTACTTTGTGGTTGCTCTCTAGCAGAACCTTAGAGCTTTAGTTGCCCCGCCGAAGTCCAAGACCGAGATAATCCAACGACCAATCAGATATATGCGATCGGTTAATTTTTTCCCCCTATATTTCCCACCCACTTAAGCCGCTCCCATTCTTGTTCCCAGGCCATATCAGCGGAACACACACGCCTCCTTCAACACCCCAAACAAACACATTCTGAACGTGAAAGTCTTGTCGTTGTCTTCCCCACGGAAATCCGATACAGGAGCAGTGGCACGCGCGGCTACGGAGCGCCCGCCGCCCGCGCGTGTTTTCGAGGTGGCTCATACCGTAAGTTTGTCATATCAGTTGAGGAGTGCGGAAGACGCGTGGTGCCTCCATCCTCCACTCTCTGGCGGTGAATATAGTGAGCGGAGGGCGGACGAGAGGGCGGCAACGGGAGATCGCCGGGCACATCCGCCGCTTTGTCTTTTCGACGCAGGCGCCGTGCGCAGCGGCGATGCCCGAGCTGTGTGAGAGCGCGAGCGCGGGGATCGCGCGTAACACCCAAAGTCCACCCTGGAGCGGGCAAATTTCTCCAGATATCGGTCATACAGCACGATACAGGCCGACAGCAGATGGCTCTCATTGTCACTATCTTGACACCTACCCAAAATCATAATACTGCCTATGGAATGATAATATAGGGTAATAATGGCCCACTCCGGCGGTTACAAGACATTTCTTCACAAACACAGGGGTGATCCACTACACTGTTTCCACGCAAGCCTGCCGCGGCGTTGATCCACAGTATATCTGCCCCCCAGCCCCCCTCCCCACCAACTAACTTCCCAACCACCAGACACCTTCATCGGCACACGTGGGGACCGTGTTCTTACCTATCAGGACTCGCCACAGCCGCAGCGCCCCTGTGGCACCTGGTGTTCAAGAGGTCACCCCCTCACCGTATCCCAGGCCCTCCAGCTCCGCTACCGAGGATCTGATGGGAACTGGCATGAACGGTATTGCCCCATGTCCTAGTACATATACCTTGTCCACAGAATGGTTGCCGAGCTCTTTGCAGTGACCACCCCAACGCCAGGCAGTCTCCACTCCTGTGGCTCAGGCGCTCCCAGCAGCTCCCCCTCCTTACCGGGAAGTCTCCCCCAACGGCTTCACGACTTTAGCCCCATCTCCTTGACTGATTCCATACAGCTCCAATACTATCTTAGACTGTAAACTCTTTCAATAAAAGAAGGGATCACAGCCGAATAATAGTTATATTGCTGATGTGTTCTCCCAGCTGGGCTGTCGTTGTTCACAGACTATAATCTGAATCACAAATGCTCGAGGAAGTCTTAGCTATCTCTGTTTTTTCTCAGGGGCTACTTTAGTTTGCCTCCCCCGGTTGGCGCAGTACGATGCAATAAACTTCTTTACCTTTGTCTGGAACTTAGCCTGACATGTATCTATCATATCATCTCTGTGTGGTCACTGCTCTTTCTGTCGGCTGCGAGCCAAAGTTGAACTGAAATTTCTATTTCATTAGTTCATTGGAACACAGACAAATCTCACCAGGAATCGTCAATGACATTTCAGTCCTCATCATGTCAACATTTTTATGCCATATTAGGGCTAAATTAGGAAGTTGCAGTGTTGCGTGCTTCATTCATTAGATGTGTTTTATGTCTGAGAAACTAGTTGTTGTGTTACAATGTGTGTCTGCTTGTGCAGGAGCAACTGGAGGTGTCAGAGAGTGTCGGCTGTGTCGTCTCTGCCAAATAGTCCAACCCCCCCTGTTCAACTGTGTGTTAGCTTAGTTTGTTTGATTCTCTGGAATGTTGTTGGCAGATGGAAAATGTATTAAAGTTTTTTTTTTTTTTCCTCTGAGGGAACTGCTGTGTGAATTAGGGCTATAATAAAATGCATTTGATTTTGCAGAAGGTCTGTACAATTATGTAAACTAGACTAAATAAATTAACTATGCAGCTCTGGAGAGTTTCTGAGCTTGTGAGTCAATTACACAATGTTCTTTAGCTCTTCTGAGAATCTATTTGTTTTCAATAATTTAGTAACAAAGATTTTGTTCCAAGAAAACAAGTTTTTGGAAAGGTTCCATGGGTTTCGAAGGAACTTTCCAAATATTGGATGCAAAATAGTTGTATGTTGCATCAGCAGAGTGTTCTCTTACAGTGTGTAAAGTGTAAACATTTAGCATTTTCAGAATCTGTGTAGGGTTGAAAAGTTGGCGGTTGGGGTCTCAGTTTTGCGCCTAGTCAGTCGGCCCTAGGGCAGATGTGGCTCAGTAGCTTTTATAGCCAAGCACTGTGTATTGCCTAAATTCACAAAAATGTGTTACACAAAATAAGCGGTTGATTTAAGATGAGTAAGATTTTTATTTGGTCAACTCTGTAAATGCGTTATGCCTAGTTGCCCAGCCAAAAGACATCACAATTCAAACGGCCACCACCATGTTTGACAGTGGGGATGGTGTGTTCAGGGTGATGAGCTGTGTTGCTTTTACGCTAAACATATCGTTTTGCATTGTGGCCAGAAAGTTCGATTTTGGTTTCATCTGACCAGAGCACTTTCTTCCACATGTTTGGTGTGTCTCCCAGGTGGCTTGTGGCAAACTTAAAACAAGACTTTTTATGGATATCTTTGAGAAATGGCTTTCTTCTTGCCACTCTTCCATAAAGGCCAGATTTGTGCAGTGCACAACTGATTGTTGTCCTATGGACAGACTCTCCCACCTCAGCTGTAGTTATCTGCAGTTCATCCAGAGTGATCATGGGCCTCTTGGCTGCATCTCTGATCAGTTTTCTCCTTGTTTGAGATGAAAGTTTGGAGGGACGGCCGGGTCTTGGTAGATTTGCAGTGGTCTGATACTCCTTCCATTTCAATATAATTGCTTGCACAGTGCTCCTTGAGATGTTTAAAGCTTGGGAAATCTTTTTGTATCCAAATCCGGCTTTAAACTTCTCCACAACAGTATCTCGGACCTGCCTGGTGTGTTCCTTTGTCTTCATGGTTCTCTCTGCGCTTTAAACAGAACCCTGAGACTATCAAAGAGCAGGTGCATTTATACGGAGACTTGATTACACACAGGTGCATTCTATTTATTTATTTTTTATTTTTATTTATTTTTTTATTTGCAGAAAAAAAAGAAGACATACAAAACAACAGTGATACAAAAACATACATAGACATTCAGGTATACATAAAGGTGAACATACAGGTAGACGTACAGGTAGACGTACGGGTAGATATACAGGTAGGGAAACAGGTATTGGCGGTAAAAAGGGTTGAGGGGGGAAGGAAAAAGTTAGTTAGTCAACATCGGCGGTAACATAGGATTCTTTAGTTGGAGAGAAGGAAGCGTTAATAGAAGAGTGACAATATTTGCACATCTATACACCCACAAACACACTATGTATATATATGTGCCTACATATGTGCACATATACACACATACACACAATACACACACATACATCCATATATACACATATACATATACGTACACACATATACCCATACCCATACATACACACCCACATAACGCGTATATATCACACATATACTAACATACACATACATATTTAACTACATATGCATACATATATAACTATACGCCCGTGCATATACACATCTATACACCTCTATTCACATATACAAGAGAGACATAAAATAACAAGGTTGGGGTGGTGATAACAATAATAACAATCAGTAAGGAGAAAAAGGGCAGGGGGACTATAACAAGAAGGGTGTGTGGATCATTATTTATAGATCTTTATATTACATTTATTTATTTATTTATTTTTTAATGAATTAATATTTACTCGTGGGAGTAGTTGAGTACTAAGCCAGGCGTGTCCCCCCCCCCCGACCTCCAGAGTGCATCTCGTCCAGCACACCCCAGGACACCAATTCCGTGTGCGCTCGCTGCCCATTTTTGTGGATTTGTGAAAAGGTTTTCTTTTATCTTTTCCCCTGGTTTAATGAAGTGCATTAAAATAAGCTTAGAGCTTACCCTATTCTCAGTGTATGCTGTGTTGGGCCCTGACTAGTGTGTTGCGTTAAAAACAGAGCAATCATGGCCAGTGTGATGGGTACTGGAGGGACGAGACTGAGATGAGGGAGTAGAGCCGGCCGCACACCCAACTACCCCCACTGTAGGATTTCATTAATTCAAATAGTTAATTCTGATATTATATAAACAATGATAAGGATTATTAATATAGTAATATCATTAATATCATTATTATTATTATCATCACTGCTAGTGTGATGAAATACATAGTTCTAAAATACATAGATAACCTACACACCTACACACACACACGCACACACACGCACACTCAAACATACACACTAATAATTAGTTATATTGTGTTTTTATTTTTATTTTTTTCCATTCCTTCTCTTCTTTCCCCCTACATAATCTTTTTGGGATGTACATGTAGGGTTTTTATATCAGTGGAGATTATAATTGTATTGATTATTATAAGTGATTGATGAAGTGTTTCCAAGTGTCCTGAAAGGCTGATATATTATTCTGTTTTATAGCAGTTTGTTGTTCGTGTCGCATGTGATCCGAGATGGCATTCAGTCAGTGTTTTATGCTACATGCTTTTTTGTTTTTCCAGTTTTGAAGTATAACTTTCTTTGCGATAGCCAGAGAAATGAGAAGTGGATTTTGATATTTATGACATAGGTTCATATTTGACGTATCTCCCAGAAGGCACAGAGATGGATTTAATGGAACTCTGCAGCCCAGGATGACGGAGAGTTTGTTAGTAACAGATACCCAAAAAGAGTGCACTGGTGTGCAGTCCCATGTGGCGTGTAAGTATGTGTCTGTGCTACCTAAAGTGCATTGTGTGCATATGTCAGTGTCTGCTAGGTTCATTTTATGTAATCTGTTTTGTGTTAGGTGGGTTCTGTGAATGGTTTTGTACTGTATTAGTTGAAGATTGGTGCTGGTTGTCATGGTAAATATATTATTACATACGCTGGTCCAAAAGTCGGGGTTGGGAGAGATATCCAGTTCAGTTTCCCATTTGACGGATGGGAGTGTGAGCTGTTGTTTGGAGGATATTATTATTTTGTACAGTTTGGAGGTTAATTTTTGTAATTTCGAGATTTTAACAATGCTTTCTACCAGAGGCGGGACGGTTAAATGGTTAATAAGTATGTTAGTTTTGGATTTTATTAAATTCTTTATTTGTTGGTAATGTAAAAATTCTTCTCTCCCAACCCCGTACTTTCTGGTTAATGTGTCAAATGAGATGAGTGTGTTGTTTTCAAAGAGGTGATGTAAGTGAGTGATACCATTTTGCTGCCAGCGGCGTAAATAAATAGGTGAATTATATTGTTGGAAATCAGGATTGTGCCATAACGGAGTGTATCTGCAAGAAGAGAGTGAGGAGTCTGTGATTTTTAGAATTTTCCACCAGGCTGTCAGAGTCGTGGAGATGGTGATTGACTTGAAATACTGTAGCTTTTTGACAGATTGTGGTAGGAATGCAAGGTCGGCTATTGGTGTATCTTTACATTGGTTCTGTTCTAGGACTGTCCAGGGTTTGTTGTATTGCTGATTTTTAATCCATA